CCCCACCAATTTCCCTTTTCCCAAGAAAAAATATATACCAAAACAAACAATAGTCCAACTGAACAGGATATTTTCCTTGAAAACTGACAGAATCCCAAACCTGCCCTCAAAAAGTTGGTGTCCATAACCCGTGTCCATACCCCGTAAGAAAAACAATAATGTAAGTTGATGAACTCTGATTGTTGCCTATTGTACTTCAACTTCACATAAACGACATCAAAGGCAGTGAGTGTATGCCGGCGTCAGTTTGAGTAAATAGAAGCACATCGACATAATAATGGTAATTTAGTGATGGGGGAAAAGTAGATCTAAGACAGACAAAAACTACAGATGGAAAGTAATGGGGAGGGACCAACCAGTGGTGCCCTTTAACCACCCGCTCGGCGTCTGTGGTGTAGCGGTTAGGCAATACGCAGTTGCACTCAGAAGACGCGACTTCGATTCCAGCATAAGGAGGTCGTTGTATCGAGTACCTCCGTCAGTGTACTGGGATGTTGTATTCGTCTGAGTTGGCCAGTTTAGTTTTAGTAAGAGTTTACGGCACTTGCAACACAATAAGGTCACATAAGTGCGAAAGATTAGGTGTTACAAGAGAGTAACAAACACAAAAAAAGGAGGAGAGATCAGGACGAGAGTTGTTTATGAAAGAAAAGAAGGAGCAAACCACACCAGAGCACCCGCAAACCACTCACGAGTTGGCCATAGCAAGCAAGCATGGTTCAGGTCCGCCTTACAATGAATGATCTAAATAGTGTCGATGTCGCCAAAAACTTCCAACAATTGAGAACAGAGTAACGAATGTCATTCCTCTATTTGTGACAGTGAAATGAGGGTAATTTTCAGTGAGAGGCACAGACACCCCCCCCCCCCAAAAAAAAAAAAAACCCAGCAAAAAACACAGGCGCAATATAAACAAAAAGAAAAAAAACCGGTACCACCCACCCCCCCCCCCTCCCCCCCCTACATCAAACAGGTTATGTTGAAACAATCTCGATATCGTATTATTTATGAAATATGAAGAAAAAAGTTCCCTTATTAAATAAGGAAAAGTGGAACATAGATGCAGTATTCAGTGTGTTGGTTTTGGTGGTCATGGCTAATTTTGGCTTCCAACCAACTCGATACAGAGATCAGTAAAGTGCTCCAAAAAACAAAATTAAAATTAAAACCATTTACGAATATCTAAACCCGATCGACATAGTGCTTTGTAATTACAAAGCAAACACTGTTTTGTTTGTTTAAAAATGTTGATCAACCTTTTTATAGCTTGAGCCCACTTTTGCTACCTTCAAGAGATTAACATTTTTGTACCACCCACCTCTTGGTATTTCCAAACGGTGCATTAAATAAATAATACCTGTCACTATTCAATTGATCCCCATTGCCCACCAAAATTACCAAATCGCCGGCTAAAGGGAGATACATCCAGGTTGGAAAGCACAGGTTTAATCAGGGGGAAAAAGTCTGCTCAGTTTGCTGCCC